TTCTACAATTAAGTTTAGTGTTAATTTAGTTTCAGCAACAATACAGTTTGATTATAATTGTTAAGAGCTTTTGTCTGCAATTAGGATTACACAGTACTGGGGTACAAATTAACACCTCCAGTCAATCGGTGATTGCATCTCTTTATCGATTCTTACCCGGTGGTCTGTTCATCATGGGTCTCTGTGACATTCCCGGTCTGGGCGGCATTCCCGGCCTCTGTGGCATTCCTGGTCTCGGCGCCATTCCTGGTCTCATTCCCGGGTTCTGCGACATGCCTGCCCGAGGAGGGACGCCTGGTCGGGGCCCCCCGAAATTCTTGGATGAAATGGTCTCGGACACCACGGTGCACTTGGAGCTGCCAGGTCCTGATGCAATGCTGCCAGTCGGACGCCCGGGTACTGGTCCCCCACTTCCAGGCCGACAATGTCCGATCCTGGGAGGTTGGGATCCACCACCTCTAGGGGGGCCATGTAGGCCACTCCCACCCGGCCTCGCCTGTGGGACACCGCCAGCTCTCGCCTGGAGCGTGCCTTCAGGCCTCGACTGAGGTTGGCTCCCTGACCTAAGAGGGCCGCCCGATGAAGGTCTCATGCCCGAATTCCCGCCAGACTTTACAGAGGAGTTCATTCCAGGCCTTAAAGGTTCTCCCTTTCCAGGCTTTCCAACCATAGGGCCCTGCTTCAATGAGCTACCCTGACTGGGCCTGATCTGTTTGGAGCTCCCAGGTTGAGATCTTTGGCCGGTGACAGCTGTACCAGGACCCCTGTTACCAGGAATAGCTGGGGCTCGTGATGAGCTTTCTTTTTTGATCATAAGGTCACTTTGGGTGCTGGATGTGTGGCTGGATGAGGGCTTGGTTCCCCCTTGTTTGGCTGAAACCTGAGAAGACGTGGCTCTTGAAGTGGCTTTGCCGTTTACAGCACCAGATGAACTAGACGAGTTTGTCTTAGGCCCGTCTCGATCGCTCTGAGACATCCTGGGTCTGTCTCTCTCTCGGTCCCCAACAGAGGGCCTAGAAGAAGTCTGGCCTTTATCACTTGTCCGTGTTGGATGCAACTTCTTTCCTGACCCACTGGGGAGACTTTGCTTTTCTATGGAGGGCTTTTGTGGTTTCAAACTCTTCTGCTCCTTCTCAGAAGTGCTTTTTCTCATTGAACTAAAGGTAGTCTGAGATTTGCCGTCCCTTTCTTTATCCGCCGATTTCAAATCTTTGATGGGCCTCTTAACCTTGCGCTCCAGCTCCAGTTCCCTGATCTCCTCAGCTGTTCGGAGCCTTTCGTCTTTCTTCACTAACTTTGTTTTTACCTCAACGGGCTCAAACTGCTTCTTCTCTGCCAATTTGAGTAACTCTGCAAAGTTCATGGGAGGCGGCGCGGGCTTGGGAGGCCCGCTGGGCTTTTTAGAGGACGGCCTGACGCTGCTATTACTGCTACCGCCACCATTTCCACCAAAACCTGTGGTCTTCCCAGGTCTCCGCGGCTCGGGCTCCTGCTCCGATTCCGAATCAGTCTGTTCATACTCGTAATTGTCTTCGTCATCTTCGGGGTCAATGAAGTTATTCCTGAAACCTTCCCCATTCGAGGACCGCTCTTCCTGCATCTCAAGTTTTGATCTTCTCTTCTTGGGAAGCTCCACCACCGGGATGCCGTTGTAGCCTCGGAAATTGTCCTTAGTTCTGGAGGCCATGGCTCGTGCTTTACGGTCCGATTTCAACTCCACTCTCTTTGCTAGTAGTTCCTTCTTCTTTTTCTTCATTTGGATTTCTGAAAAAAAGAAAAATAGACAATGGAATTATCAAGGGACAATGCACTCTGCGCCGTACCGTTATCCATCTGAACTTTGCATTACCTTTCTTCTTGCTTTCACAAGTTTGTTTCTTCAGAAGCGCCTGCACAGCCGATGGATTTACCCCCTTTGACCTCGGGTCCTTTTTGGGTGGTGCAGCTTGTAAACTGTATCTCTTCTGCTCAAAAGAGACACACACATTACATGAACATTCAAGGCGCGTGAAGCATGGTTTATTTACCATTTGCACTTCTCAAATGTATCCGATTGCCTACGGATCAATATTGATGGCAAAAGTTACAATGTGTTGACGTTTTTTGGTTAGTTAGCGGCTAAGTTAGCTAACTGTTAGCTACTCCATCAGATCCCCTGTGACAGATGAGCTGGCACTTAGATTTGCCACTTCACCGTCCGGCCTGAGTAAACTCAGCGCAAGCGACTGCGTTTAAACTTACCTGTGAACTGCTGGGGGCCCGATTTTGCGTGGCAATGTCCAATATATTGTCAAAGTCCATCATTTTGGCAGAGGCGACCACGGGCTGGTTATTCGAAATGAATCAGGGTAGACAACACCGGGAGTGCTAATGCTATCGTCAGCGTTTAGCGCACAAACCGAGTAGGTGGACGCGGGACGTGTCAGTGACCAAACGACACTTAAACGGCTAGAAGGACAACACCTGATCACAAGTAGTCCATTAGAGGAAAACCCGGCATATCAAAGCAGTCGACCCTACTTTTATTTCACCGGCTTACTTTAGCGCATGCTAGCCACGTTAGCATAAGCTTACCTTACGTTTACTAACGCTTGCCAACCCACAACCCTGAAAGGCGTTTTTTTTGTACAGAGCTTACACACGAAACTAAGGCCAGGTCCATTAAAAGCCCATACACTTAAATTAAATTGACAGAAGACGACTAAAACTTGAGCAGAATGTTAAGACTGCTGTTGCTGGAGACCACGGCGACAGAGACAGACAGGAGGAGCCAAAGAGTACTTTAAGGAAGTGAGATAACTCTCTCATGCGCGTATCCGTCTTCGTAATATCACAACGACTTGTGTGTATAGATATACATCAATACGTTTTTGATCTTGGATTGATAATATATTTCTAACCACAAAAAAACGTACCATGTTAAACACAGTGCTATTAGAAACACGTGTTTTGTTTGACAAGTGCAACGTATTCACAACGTGAAATAAACACAAGATCAACAGCGACGAACGTGTACCACGTTTTATGAGTCAGCTCTATGGTCTCTGGTCCATGTTAAAATAACGTTTACACTTGGAGACCACATGATGTCGCTGCCATTGTCGATTCTCCTCATCAAGTCAACGCAACATGTTATGGGCTCTTCATACTAATCATAAGCCTGCACATGATGGTCGACGCTGCTTTTACATTATTTATGTCATGTTTGGCTATACATATTGTATCATTTGTCACACACTTTTAAGTGTGTGAAGTTAAAACTTCAATAAACGTTTCTATACAAAATGAAATGGTCCAGTACAGGCTATAGTATATGAGTGATATAGCTACGTTTTACAATTGACAGTTAACATTAATTGTATGCAACCTGAGAGTGAGAGAGATCAAGAGAGAAGCAAATGTATTTGTTAATAAAATGGATACGTTTGGGTGACACCGTTTCATTTCGTTTAAAATCGTCTTCTTAATACTTCCTAATTTCTCCCTGTGGGATTAATACAGTAACCATCCATCTATCTTGAGAAATTTTATTCGAGCAACGTTTCGATCACATAGAAATGTTTTCCAGGCTTATGGTCTGAATTGATAACGCCTAACCCAACATCTTCACTCTCTGTCCCTGAAAATATCAAATAAAGCCAGAAATCTGGGGGTTATTATGGATTCAGATTTACACTTGGAGAGTCACATCAAATCAGTAACAAAATCGGCTACCACCTCAAAAATGTCGCACGACTTAGAGGGCTCATGTCAGCTCAAGACTTAGAAACACTTGTACATGCCTTTATAACCAGTAGGCTAGACTATTGTAATGGTCTCCTTGCAGGTCTCTCAAAAAAAACTGTCAGGCAGCTCCAGCTTGTTCAGAACGCTGCTGCTAGAGTTCTAACAAAGACCAAAAAATGTGAGCACATTACACCATTTCTTAAATCCTTACATTGGCTCCCAGTATGTCAGAGAATTAATTTAAAAATCCTACTGCTCACATATAAATCACTACATGGTTTAGGGCCAAAGTATATCACTGATATGCTTCAACTACATAAGCCTTCAAGATCACTAAGATCTTCTGACGCCAATCTGTTAGTGATTCCCAGAGTAAATACAAATCATGGAAAGCATCATTTAGTTACTACGCAGCAAACAGCTGGAATAAACTTCCTGAAGATTTAAGACTTGCCCCAACTCTGACCACGTTTAAAACAAGACTGAAAGCTTTTATGTTCAGCTTCGCCTTCTGTTTTATTTGCTGTTTTTAATTGTCTTTTAATTCCTGCATTTTATTTCACTTTATTGTATGAAATGTTATGATGTGAAGCACTTTGAGTCTGCCTTGTGTATGAAAAGCGTTATACAAATAAAATGGCCTTGCTTTGCCTTGCCTAACCTGACTCATTAACAAAGGGATTTTTAGAGAATAATCAATTCTAAATGTGGTGACTGCAATCCGGTAGAGTCACGTGAGGCTAAATACGGGAGATTGGTGTGGACTCGTTCCAAACAGACGCTGATTCCTCCTATGAAGTTCATTGCTTTTATTAAGTTAAAAACACATCCAAGCGGGCGAAGCGATACATGCTGTGCGACGATGCAATAAAGTGCGCTGTAGGATACGGTCAACAAAAAGTATCGTCTCCCGACTCACCCCCATGTCCATACAACCATCACTCCGCCTAGATGCCTACACTCGTTCATAAACCACTGCACACCTGCCCACGTGATTCTGATGCTAATTACATTTCAAAATAAAAGTACCAACACTCACACACAGGAAGTGGCAGACGGCCGCTACACTAAACTTTCCATAAGCCCCCTTTCTGTTACATGTAAATAATGGCCATCTGCTCCGGTAAGTAAACAGCAGAGTGATCCTCCTATCCGGGCGTCCTTCACGTCATGGCCCGCCTCGCTCACTGCCCTTCGTCGCGCCTATTGGTCAGCAGACAAAGGTCCCGCCCACGGCATGGCTCGTCTCTCGCTTCCTACTGGACGTCGGACCGCCCATCGGAGCGGAGACAAAAACAATCGGCATCCCACAGCCAGTACAACATAAACAGGGGGACTAAAGCCCAAAGCCGATAAATACCTTTCTCCCCGACACGGACACCGCCGGCAGAGAAATGGTTTCTCCGGTGACAGTGGTGAGTATCTTCGTCAAGTCAGCGTTGGTCATTTTCACAAACTAAACAGGAATAATGGGAGCTATTTGCAGGGAGTGTTATGTCCTTACTTTATCTCGGGTGCTTGTCTAACCCACATAGCACAGACAACGACGTTGCGTTAACGGTTTATTTAGACATCACGTTACGTTACAGGGTTAACCAAACGAGAGAGTGTTCCCGCCCGAATATTACCCCAAATAACCCGGTGCTTCATTACTACGGAAACAGAGTAAGCCCAAAATACACAGCAGGGAGCAGGAACTTTTTAATGCGGTCCTTTTACTTGACACTGACACGTTTTCAGCAGTATCGCTCAGCCGCGAACACAAGGATGTTTCCACAAATTTCCAAAGGCAGCCCGTGACAAAAAAAACAAAAGAACCTGTCATGTGACAACTTTTTGTTTTGTCTGTTTTTTTGTTTTGTTTCCCTTCCTATTTTTTGGGTGCAATGGCAGGAAATTGGCCATTCTGAAACCCAAAAAGAAAGAAAAAGACTGTGACAGCTAGATGGGTAATGAAGCGGCCCTTGCATCCTTACTTTTACAGAGCTGCCGTGACATTAGACTCATTTTGCACCTGCGAAAGGTGTCTGTATGAAGGAATGCTTGCCATAAACAAGTGGTTGTCATTTACATTAGATTTAGCTGACGCTTTCATCGAACCCGGCTCGTTGTAGGTGCATTAAACCAAGAGGGTGCAGAACCAGAACGAGAAGAATCAAGAAAGTGCAATTTATTCAAGAAAGACAAAGGACTAAGTGCTATAAGTCAGTTCCATCTTAAGTGCTACGTGATGCTGTGCAGGGGTTGCAAAACTTTAAAGCCCTGCCCCAACTATTGCCGTGAAAGGGAAGGTGTAGGTACTGAGACAACGCCCGTTTGTAATCTTTATTTTTCATTTAATGTGCTGCATTCTTCATAATCCGCTCCATTCATAAAAGCTACATTTGAATGATTGCCCGATACTTCAAAAGTAGATGAACAGAATTAGCAGTGGATTTAAGGTATTTAAGTTCACCTTCTACTCCTGCTCTGATGTTGGAATGCTGCCGCAATAACTACACTATACCTGCATACAACACAGTTTTATTTAGGCCTTTTATTTCTCACTCCTAACTCTGTTTTTATAAAGACTGTGCCGCTCCATGGCATCCGGTGAACTGACTCATAAAGGAGCTCATTCACTTTTGTCTCGTACAGATGATCTCCATTCAGTCACTCCAGCACCTTCTGTCCTTGACTGCTGTGGACATTGTGGTTTCTGGCAATCGTCGAGGCGCCTGCGTATTGTATTTAGTTCCCGAATGTTTCTTCCAGCACAAAGATGCACCTTTCAGCCGAGATCAGGTTTCCCTTTTTATAGAAGAGCACCTGCGTGTATTGTGGAGCAGCTGAGCTGAAGTAAGCCTTGGATTTGAAGCGGCTGAAAGAGGGATCCTCCCCCGTGCCAGTGCTCTGTGATGCTACACGGAGATAAAGCTGTCATATGACTCACATGCCAGCTGTTCCTGCCAGGACCAAACTTGTATTACAGTACCCTTTGCCAAATTTGCTTACGCAAGACTTTACAAGTCTTTTTTAATGTTTCCAGCACTCGTCTAGCGTGTGACCAAGAACTTCAAGAGCTGCATTTAGGAGGCGAGTTTGGGCTCGGAGTTTGTAACCATTTGCTTGTGTTGAAAAATACATGGATTCTTAGTCTGAAACAGCTGAAGAGGCGGTGCATCTCTGGAGTAGCTTAACCCCCCCCCCTCTATTGCTTGTTAGTGACCATGTAAATGCAGTAAATCATTAACTAGATTATTGTTCGCAGCCAGTCGACCGTGCTGCACCATTTCTGCGAAACAGCCTCCATTATCGTCAGACGGCAAGGTGAAAACAAAATTATTATTTTCGTTTGCCTCCCAGATGAGGCAGAATGTTCTGTCCTCTTAACAGCGGCGAAACAGCTGACTGCAGACGATCGATCGAGGCCGGTGGAGTAAGTTCCAGCTGAGACGACGGCGAACCCCGGCCATCTCATTCTGGTGCAACGAAGGACTAAAAACCTCCCATCCGCCGTGGAGCGGCTCACAAATTCCATCGGGCCATTAGGCCTCCTTGGTGTGACAATTTGATGCAGCGTGTTGTAGTAGCAGTAACGTGGGGGGCGGTTTGAGAAAAACTCCTGCATACGCTTTGTGGATTCTAAACGCGGACTTTCAGTCCAGCCGAGGTTCAAGTGAGACAAACACCGTGTGTGCGATGTGGAGTAGGTGTTTGCCCATTGTGCAGATACAATGTGTTGACGTGAACAACAGTGGAAGGGAAACTGTAAATAATGGCTCAGACGCAGCATGAACAGGACCAAAGGTTATGGGAATCTCTGACTTCCTCCCACCTACCTCCATGGAATCCGCCCACCCCCCCCTCGCTCACAGATAGGTTGTGTTTTTCTGTGGCCCCACTTGCCCTGATGAACAGAGTTTAGTTTTGCTTGGCACTCAACATAAACACAAATTTTTTTATGAAGACCACTGAAATTAATTAAGATGTCTCTCATTCTACTTGCATTTGGAAGAAAAAATATCATATATGTTTGGCGTATGTCCTCACGTTTCAAGATGTGTTTCGTGCGTAATGGAGTTCATTACGAAAAATGTGCACCACATACATTTGAAGATCTCAGACGATAACACACGAGCTTGTGCCTTAAAATGGGTCCGATCCGTCTCGTTTTGCTGCTGTCACGTTATTCGGATCAGCTACAACAGGGCAGGCTGGAGGTCAAACACTGTCCAAAACCCAGTCCGCACAAATCGGGGGGTTTTAACTTCCTCCTCTTTCCTCCAGGAGCATGAACCATATGGACTAAAGGCGACCCCCCCCTCTCCCCTCCTTCACCCCCTTTCCTCACCTCCTTTGCTTCTCCTCTCTGTCCCCAACTCACTGGTCAAATCCTAATTCTAGCTGTCATCTGAATGCTTTTGACTCCACCGCCCCCCCCCCCCCCCCCCCCCCCCCCCCCCCCCGTCCTCCCTGCTTCTTTCTCTGCCCTACTTACTCCTTCTTTTGTGAATATTGTAATCAGAGATTTTCACATATTTATGCTCAACACAGAATCTTTGGATGGGAAACAGTCGGACAGCGGCTCAGTTCTCCCTTTATCACTATTTACTCTGGTGCCTCTTGTATTTGGGCAGAAAGAAATTTGACCGTTACCTCAGCTTGAAAGAGGCAATTCAGACCCGTTAGTCAGGTGTCAAAAACATTCCAACCAAAGCGAGGAGGAGAAGAAGAGGTTACAGGGAGTCAAAGGAACAGCCGGGGGGGGGGTTGCGTTTCCCCTTCTACTCGCTGGATCTGCAGAGTTTTGCCTCAGCCCAAAAAAACACGTGCATGCCTGAGAACGGTGGTGCGAACTAGGGGCCGCACGGAGACTCACTCAACCCCGCCGAGCCAAATAAGCAGAAGCACTTGTAGCTTGCTGCTGGCGTCCCCTTGTTTAAAGATGAACACACACACAGTGGTGGCTGCCTGTGATATACTTCGAGCCGCTTGCCCCCCGAGACAAACAACCTTTTGATAGGCCCGGTCGCTATAGTGTCAACATTGTTCACCGAACAGAACTACCTTGTGTCAGCGCAACCAGCCACGACAAAATTAACAGTGTAAATATTTAATCTGCTTTCAGGTCAAGAGCGAAGGGCCAAAGCTGGTGCCGTTCTTCAAGGCAACCTGTGTGTACTTTGTCCTGTGGCTTCCCACCTCGAGCCCGTCCTGGTTCAGCGCTCTAATCAAATGTCTGCCCATCTTCTGCCTCTGGGTGTTTCTGCTGGCTCATGGGTTCAGCTTCCTCGGCGCTCACTCCAGTGCGCGCAGGATCTTGGCGGGCCTCATCTTTTCTTCTCTGGGTGACGCCTTTCTCATCTGGCAGGAGCAGGGCTACTTTGTTCACGGTGAGGAGAAACGGTTTATTTTGATTGCTGTTTGTATGAAGCATGATTGTGTCCTTGTCACATTGACTAATCTGACTAGATCTCGCTGTGAGATGAAGCGGCGTCACAGCGATCCAAGTTCCCAGAGAGGATCATAAACCAACAACCAAAAAAAACCCCAACTTGTTTGTTTCCTCCACTTTGTGCTTCAGGCTTTGTTTTGCACACGACAAATGCAGATGCTGCTACGTTGTGTGATTGTATTTCGATTGAAATCACACCTGCGTGTATAATGTCCTGCAGGCCTTCTGATGTTTGCTATCACCCACATCCTCTACTCGTCTGCCTTTGGGATGAAGCCCGTTAACGTGTCCGCCGGCCTGGCGATCGCCGCCGTGTCCTCTGTGAGCTACATGCTGCTGTACCCCTACCTGTCCGGCCCCTTCACCTACCTGGTGGCCGTCTACGTGGCTCTGATCGGCTTCATGGGCTGGAGGGCCGTAGCGGGCGTGCAGCTGGCCAACGACCTGTGGACCTGGACCAAGCTGTGCGCCTGCCTGGGCTCCGTGCTCTTCATGGTCTCCGACCTCACCATCGCCGTCAACAAGTTCTGCTTCCCCGTGCCGTATTCGCGCGCCATCATCATGGCCACCTACTACGCCGCCCAGATGCTGATAGCGCTGTCGGCCGTTGAGTGCCAGGAGGCGGAGGTGGCCCGGAAGAGAACGTGAGGTGCCTGCGGGCCCAGTAGACGCATCTCACTGACGGATTCCTCAGCCTTCAGCCCTCATCTCAGTGTGACGCTCCCGCCCTGCTGTTACCGTGGCGACTGGTTAACTACGGTCTCCACACGGCCATCACGCTTTTACTAGTATGGTAGCGTCACAACTGTCCTCATACCACGGCGGTAGTATTATCCTCAGCCTTCCTTCTCCGAACCCAGACTGGCTTTCAACCTAGTTACCGTGGAAACAAGCCTTATTGGTATTATTGGAGAGTATTACTTTGCCTTTAACTGATTTAATTTAAGGGGAGCCTGTCACTGGGGACCCTCAAGGAATGTGTGTGTGTGTTTGATTAACGCCTCTTTACCTCTCAGTCACATCAGCCACAGTCACCACACCGACTCCCACGTCCACTTTAAAATGGTCCAATAACACAATTTAACATCAGGTTTTTGTCATTGCTTCAGACCTTTTGAAAAGGGATTTATTTTTTTAACCATGTGTTGCTTTTCACTCTGTGTAGCTTTGGTAAATGAAGTGTTCTGTCCTTAAAGTCGGGAGCATATCCACAGCTACTTTATTATCTGCAGTCCCGTCCGTTGCATTTCCAATAACCACTGAGCCTTTGTGTCAAAACAAATTCAAACCCCGTCTCTCTGGATTATTCAATTGTGATGTTCTTGAACAACTAGATGTACATAGAAATAATGACAGAGACAGAAAATGGGTGACGGCAGTTACACAGTTTATTTTAGGACAGATTTTTGTGATGCTGTCACAAAGAGAACAAAGTGCACATTTCCTTCCCAGCAGGACGCTGTGCACAAGAGTCGTCCTTGTCTAAAACTGTGAAAGGATAAAAATCACTAATGCGCGATTAAAACTAATGAGATGTGATGACTAAACCAAAAACAGCGCTCAAAATGAACCCTTCATTGCACACATTCTCACATGGTGTACATTTGTTTCAGATGTTTTACAGTACGTTGCAGTTTATCAAAAACGTGACCGTGCAAATGTCGACATACCTGGGACCCCTGCTGGTTTGCCTATTAGGAAAAGTTATTTATTCATTAGGAAACTGTTATCCCATTATTCCTAAAATACCTTTTAACACATTTCATCTGCCGATATTTTTTTGTCTTTTATCTAACCTCCCTTTCCCCCCCTTAAATGGTTTGTGCTCGAATTGAGGGTCCTTCCTGGAATATTCAGGCTCACTGTAGATCCATCCCCAGATGTCTGCACACATGTGGATGCATGTTGGGAGTGTGTGTGTGTGTGTGTGAACACCTGTGATGGCTCAGGAGCAACAGAACGGCTGCGAAAACTACGCTGCAGGACAACGTGTTTTAACAAGTCTCCAAAAATCCTTTCCTTCACCTCTGGTGTGTTACAGCATCCCCAGATGTGTTGTCAGTTTAAGGGGGAGGGAGGGACTAGAAGCAGTGTGTCATTGGGTAAAGTATCCTCAAACTGGTGACTTCTTACGGTTTGATTGGACCTTAACAGTAATTCGTTGGTAAACCGGCCTCCTCTTGAGTAGACACTCACCTTTTTAACGAGTATACGCCATTGGCATCATGATTAACTAACCACTAACTGTCTGTTTATTGGAAAAAGAATCGACGTACAATCGAGACCAGAGACGTATTCATGGCTAACGCAAATAGAAAAGCGATAGCTTTTGTTATTCAGTGGTTCACTACACATGCACCTCAATATGACATCATTTGCTGTATACAAAACAACCTGGCGTCGAAAATAAACAGACTCCGTGTCACGGGTACCTTCTGAAAGGTCAACGACCTGGAGCTGTCGGGCAACACGCCAAACGTACGCTCTATAAAAAAGCGTGCGTTGGCGGCAGGACACGTGGATGTCTCAGTTTGACCCCCCTCCCCACCCCCACACCCCCTGGTGTGCAATCTGAAATCAGACCATGAGGAAATAAGGAGTTAGGGGTCAGGCCGCCCTACTGGTGCGCGCTGCGTGGGCTATTCATGTAAGCACTCCGTTCCCAGTGGGTATGTGCCAGAAGACCGCCCTTACTTTGGAGGGCTTTTCCTGGGATCATGTCACGTTGTTCGACTCGGGTCATTGCCAGACTTTCGGGAAGTGAGGTCGGCGTCCTGGGAGCGATACAGAGGAGTGGAAAGTTTTAACTCTCTCCTCCGGCGTCTCTATCTCCTCTGGCGTCTCTATTTTTATTGGACGCAGATGAGCTGAGCTGAAAGCACAAAAGAAAACTAAACACATCGAGAGTCTTCTCATGTATGAAACAGCCCTTTTGTTTTGTTTTTCGGAGGCCCCCTCCACCCTCTGTGCGGGAGTCATTGTTGAGCGATACTGTTGAGCGATACTGCCCCCACCCCCCTTTTTTTTCCCTCCCGATTGAACCTCTTCCCTCTGCTTCTTTTTGCCGTTGTGTCCCGGGATGTGTCACCTGAGGCTGAGCCGTAACGTCTGCACAGACCTTAGTCACGCGTGTCGAGTGGGTTGAACTGACTCATCCAGGCCAACACCACCCATCTGCGGTGATGGATGGAAAAGTGCACGATTGACGCCTGCTCCTCCATCAGAGTCGGCCCTACGACGTGTGTGTAAAGGTGGTGACATGTTCTCTTTGTATTATCAATCTGAATCCACTGTGTGCTGCACTTCTCTGTAATCAGAGCCAGGCCAGTCAATCTCTCTCCCAGCAGCTGTAGGGTTTGTTGTGTACTGTAAACCTTTTTAGTATATTATCCCTTACATCAAGAGATAAACCAGAAGTTGGTTTTGATGTTGAGGGTTAGTCACAATAAAGGGAGGCATTGGCGTGGGATCATTTTTGGTTTCAAAAGATAATAATAGCTCTTGAAGTGTTACAAGCTTTTAAATATATATTAAATCTCCTTTTACTTTTATCCAAATACTGTTTTTGCCTGTCTCTGTGGTAAGAGCTGGGTGTGTTTTCCACAAAAATCTTTTCTTTTTTGAAGGTCCTGACCTCATTTCATGAACAAATGTCTGTTTCTTTTATTTATCTCTTGTTTTTATTTCTTCATGAAATAAAATCTTCATTTTTTTTTTCATGACCGTAGAGATGAAATAGTTCCTTTGCTGTAGTGAAACTGATATGAATGTGAATATCTATTGGAAAAAATAAATGCAAAGACAATGCAACTTCAACATTTTGGACTTTTCTGTTTGTTTACTAGAATCAATTGTACCTCATTAAAAGTGCTGATCTTAACGCCCGGTCAGCATTTTGTATTTCTACAGAAGCTGTGGGCAGAGCTCCGTTCTTGTAGCTACAGCTGCATTCTTTTGTCTGGCCGAGGTAGAAAATGTGCTCTCGGGAGGCTTCAACTCCTTGGAAACCACCAGGACTTCCTCTCGCCTTCTCGTTTGTTCTGCTTGTTCTTTTCTTTATGCACGCACACACCTCACAGAGTAGAGCCAATTCCTTCCAAATGAGCCTCATTCATTAGCACCTATGGTCTCAATAGATGGAAGACATGACAATTGATCCTCCCGGAGTATAATATTGTTTTATTCTTCTCCTTCTAGCGCCAGTCGGTGCTTAATTTACTTAAGCCTGGTAACCAGGCGATGCCAGTCGTACCGTGGTGGCTGTGTAGAAACGCTTGAGTTCGCTTCAGCCAGCGCACTGACGTCAGGGTGGAAAGGGGTCGTGACCTCTCTCAAGTCTATTTGGCAGCTCTCCGCCGGACCACGCTCCCTTTCTCAGGGGAGCAGCGGACCAGCAGGAGGCGAGGCCCATTCGGAGGCTGTCAAAGCCTCTTCGACCCAGAGGGAAGCCATCACACAAAGCGGTTTGAAAGTAAAAGGAGAAATTTCAGTCTCAAAGGCTCAAATAAAATCTGTGTTAAAAATACTGGTTGAACAGTGTTTACTTTTTACATTTTAAGGCTCCCAGTGAGCTTGTAATGGCTAAAGCATAAACATTCCAAGTGTGTCGCCTGGCCTCAATCTGACTTTTAACTATTTGTTTCACTGACATAAGTTCAGACTGCATTAATAAATGCAAAAAGCCCCCAGAAACAACATGGAGTTTAAATTGGCTGCATGGTTTCTGTAAATGACTTCAATGGATTTGCTAACAGATACTTTCCGTCGATATTCCGAAGAAAGAAGAAAGATTTGCAGACGCTTCACAGCATTTTGTGATGTGGATGATAACAGATGCAAAGCTGAGCTCGTCATTTCAGATCCAGAAATGTTCCAGACAGAGAGCTAAATACTAAATACAACATCAAATCCACAGGACGGCAGATGAAATCACTTCCATTTTTTGTTTTAGGTATACTTGTGGGCATTTGTTCTTTTCGATTCATCTAGAAAGCAGATTTAACCACAAAAGGGAAAAGAAGACGGTGTTTCATAAAAGCTGTGGACTGGCTTTGCATGTTATACGGATGAAAAAGCTAATCTATTGAACACAAGGGAGGTAAGATTTTGGCTGATTGTGTAATTGTCAGCGTGCATGCCAATGTGTGTCTGTCCTCAAACAAAAGGACATGCGTCTGTGTTTATATGATGCACCGTGCATGTATTCAATCCTTGTCTTCATCCACAAGAAAAAATCCCTCCAGCACAAACTTCAGTGTCCTCCTGGACCACAATCTCTACACAAGAATTGGAGCGAGTCTGACCTCTAGTGGCCGTTTGTTACATTGCCATTACCAGAAATTATCCATGGGAGAAAAACAGCATTTTCTCATCCAAATAAATCAACCATAAAATTACTTTTAAATTATTAAAAAATCATTTTTTAATTAATACACTTTACATATAGCTCGATGAACTCTAGCTTACTCTCAGGAGGCTTAGGATGTTCTGTAGTATTTAAAACCTGCATTAAAGTAGACAGCTTTTACTTCTGAATCCCAAATATGTGTCGTGTCCGGCCAATCGCATTGGGGGTGTAAGTTGGCAACGGCAGCATGTAGCTGTCTTTGACCTTCTGCAAAGATCACAACATGTTTGAGTTGATGACGCCCGCCTCTGCTCACCCACCTGCTGGGAACTAGCGAGGTGCTCTCAGCTGTACTCACTGCCGGGGTCCTCTCGTCCTCCATGACCTCCGCGACCATCCTTGTGCCGTGTGACCTCAGGCGGCTGGTTTGCCTTTGAAGGGGATCTTAATGGTGGTTTCTGGCCGGCCTTCACTGTCACAGCTTGGGCCCCCCAACATGTCCAGCACAGAGAAACCCATTTCTGGAGAATGAGATTGATGTAGTTTGAGATGTGATTTGCGTGACTGATATTGTGGCAGGAAGCTTCCTTCAATTAGTCTCTCATCTCAATCATCTGCACTAGTGAGCACACAGCCTCCGTCTCAGCCCCATTGGCCCTGGAGGGGAACCCCCCCATCATGAAAGTCATACCAGAGAAGATCAGCTCATAAATCTGTCAATGTTACATGCAAACAATGTGTTATTGAGGAAAAAAAATCTTCCTCTTCCGACCGTATATATCTGCACCAATTTTTGGCGAAATCTAGCAGTCCTTCATATTGTCGAGATTTAAACTAATGTGCCTGTAAAGAACAGGTTATGGTATCACCAAAAGTATTATGATTAAACCTGCGACCCATTCATGTGTGCCAATCTGTAGAGCAGATGTTGGGATATTTTAGTCGGGACAGAAGTGGTGGATCAACCACAGCTTCATGACTGGAGCCAAGTGTTTGCATGACAAAAAAACCCTCTGCCACATCATTTGGTAGAAGAAGGGGGCATTTGAGAACTGACAAAGAGACTCTTTCATCTTTCAGCCACACTCCATTCTTCTCACCATCAAGCACAACAGCTCTGCACGGGAGACTGTAGGACACCGAGCTTTGACATCCGCTCCAGCACGACACAAACAAAAGTGACACTGACACCGATAAAGAAAAAGTGGTCAGTCGGGCAGAAGTGACGTGTGTTCCTGGGCGTCATTGTGCTGAGTGCAGGTGACGAGAACTCTGCCTCGTCCGTCACTTCGCAGCCGTCGATGATCACCTTGCGTCCTCTTTCTGTCCCGTGATGTCACCCGTCCCTCCTCGGTGCTCATCTCGCACTCTCGCATGTTCTTAAAGTGGCTGGTACACTTGGTGGGAATCCCTGGATGAAAGTAGAAAAAAGGCCGGTAATAAAAGTAAGGGACTCACTTCAGGGTTTCTTTTACCTTAAGTAGCATGCTTAACTTTTAAAGAAATGTATGTATTAAAAACAAAGCATTAATCACATTAACTGAAATTTTTAAAACAGGATTAATTGATTTTTGTACCAATTTATTAGGTTTGTTCTTTATATATTTCATCTCTCACACACGGCAGATACTTCTCTTCTCAGGAGCGACTGTAATTAACACAACCTACATTACTATGCTTCTGTTCCTGGAACCCCAGAGGACAGCCACATGTCCTTGTGAAGACATTTGCGTGTCCCAGCTTGCACGTTGGGCATGTGAGCATCTTGTTAGACACAGCTGTAATAAATGAGCTTGTTGTGTGCAGGGACTTTGTTGGCTCCCTTTCAACTCAGCACTAGGAGGATTTATGATGCTACCCATGCGTCTTCATTTGGACGATAGGTCCAAATTAGTTTCACTAAAGCAGCAGCTCACAACCCTTTTGGGAAAACCCCCCACTAAAAAAAATAAAGCATAACAAAAAAAACACTTGTTGAAGCCTGAGAAATACTGTGGTCCACGATGGCAGTGAGGCCTCCAGCGCCGGCAGTGTCGTGTCCGGTGGCACTGACTCGCACGTCCTTAATCTTCAAAGTGAAGGTCCATCCTCAGATAAGGACACGTCAAACTTGTCATGTGTTTTTACTTTCTTTCCCTTTACCTGCCAAAATAAAATGCCATAAACAGATTACATCTCTTTAATCTCATCTCTTTAAAGAAGGGATATTACGTGAGAAAGTCTTTTTGAGTCACATACAAACCTTCCAGATGAGTGGTGCGAAAACACTTTATCCGGAAAAAAAACAGAGCGATTATCTATTAATGTCCTATAGATTATGTGGAGGGATGAGGCACAGGGCAAGGAACTGACTATAAATGGAAAGAAAACATTTCTGTGCACAAAAAATGTTCTCAATTCGGTCAAACGTTCTAAAACAAGTAAATAATAACAGAGAGTGACCCCTAAAGTTGGTAATGCAGTCTATGCCGAGAGTATCTGTCTCAGTCCCGAGGAGTGGAACGACTGGAGTCCCATTCTGCGCTTGCCCGTGACATTGAGCCTGGCTGACGGTCTCTAGCCTGCAACCTGCAGAGAGTCTCTGAGGCGCACGGTTGAAATGCACAGCGTGTGCTCGGCTCCCATCTGTTTCCCTGCGCATTTCCCACGAGAGTACTGGCTCCACGCCCTGAACCATAAACAAAATGCACAGACGTGTGGAGGGGGGGGGTGCTCAAAGAATTGTTTTATCTTACTGAGACTCCTATATGTAGGCTGATAAAAATGATGACAGGACACTAAGATGAATTTATTTCTCTTGTGGGTTCTTTATTTCCCCCGACTGCACTCCTGGAGCACAGCCTTAATGTGTCAAATTAAGGAGGCACTTGGAACAGTGTACAAATAACAAATAACCAGTTGCTTCGCTTCACTAACTAGAACAGGATGTCATGGAATAGAGCTACAATTACCTTAAGCTAGAAATTACATGAAGCTACAGTTACATAAAAATCAACAGTAGTGACCCCTTCCTGTTAAACAGACCAAAGAACATGCACATTGGTCTCATGCTGTTCAAATCCCACACCATTGTCGTTCCTCCAAAAAGTCCCGAAAACAATAAACTCACTCAAGCGCCGGCGCGCACGGCTCCATGCACGTGCAAACTCAACCCACAGCAGCTTGTTACTCCCCTCTAAACGAAGCAGAGGTGCACAACCCAAGAACATACACTCAGTACAGGCAATCAATCACAATTTACATGGTGAGTCAGGTTTATTAATGTTAGAACACTTACGCTGACCCGCTGAACAGGTATTTCCCTAACGCTGTTCCGATGCTAACCGCTAACACTGTGTCGTGTTAGTAGCCACTAGGTCCCGCTCTGCAGCTCCAAATCCCACGTGAACTCATGCCCATGTACTTAAAGGGGCAGTACGCCCTCACCCTCTGTGCACACGCACACAAGAAAGACGAGAAGAGGCCACCTGTATGTATATATGTAGCGGGTACAAATATGTACTACGGCTTTAAGACTCACGTGAACGCGGGAGAGAGAGAGAGGGAAAACGGGGGTACGAGCGGCGAAAAAGAGGAGCGGTAGAAGTTTTTGGGCTCCACAGGCGCGTCAAGTGTTTTTCCCGGTAAAAAATATTGTCAAGTGGTCGTATCGATTGACACGTTCCGAACCAGTAACGCGGTTACGTTTGGGTTTTCGTTTTAATTGATGGTGCGAGCGCCGAAGTCGGGCTGCATTAGATTAAAGTGACACGTTTAAACCAGTAACGCGGTTACGTCTGGGTTTACGTTTCCTCGGATAGCGCGAGCGCCGAAGTCGTGCGGCATTAGAGTAAAGTTAAAGTTAACTGTTGCATTTAGTTGGGGCTAGATGGCGGTGCACCGATGAAGATGACTGGAGGAGTGTTCAGGAAGAGCAAGCCGGGACATCAACATCTCGAGGTGCAACGTGCTAGCTAAAAGCTCTGCCCACCTCTCCCCACTCCGTGCGTGAGCTGCGCGGGAAAGGGGGCGATTGACGTCAAGACAACCCGTTTCATTGGAGGTTTACCCTGCCAGCCATCGGACATCCCACGACGTGTGACCTCTGCGGTTGTATGGGTAATCACTGCACCACATTTCAACACACTGATCCATGAACCAGCAGGCGGCGTGTGCAGCCGAACAGAACTGTCTGTGAACTGAACGAACTAGCCGCGCTGTGCGCCCACACACACACCCAAGCACGCAGACGCTAACAGCACCTACTGAACTGAACTGAACAGCAACGGAGCTGACACCAACACGTACACACACACACGCACCCATACACACCGGAGTGACCCGGTTAGCTCATGCGGACTGGCACAGCAGACGCTGAGTAACTGTTTATTTTGCCATCTAAAGTAAGTTTATTGGAATGTGAATGTGAAATGCCTTTAGAAGTAAGCTATATTCTCTGTTAAGTTTACTGTTCTGGTTAAAGGGAGCCATTTTTAGTTGTCATAAGGGTGAACGTTGCTTCCCCAGGTTCCATGAGAACTTACAATAGACGGGTATGGCCCACTAAGTGCCAAGTTAAGCACCCAATGTTTGATGATGAAGTGAAACAGAGGTATTGAGTAGCCATTCGTGAGGTTTCTAGGTGACTATATTAATGAAACCATCCCATATAACTGTCTCGTATTTGAATATGTTTTTCTTGTGCTCTGTGTTTATCCTTGAGTAAACAATAGAGGGAATAACAGCTGTACGTGTTTGTTTAACTTAGTCTAGTATATTGGGCTGCTTATCTGGGGTAAGGGCGCCTCACCTGTTTAGCTAGACCTGGGTAGAGTGGGGGGGGGGGGTTACCTCACGCACCCCACACACACTTCAGACGACCACCTGCTGAAGCCCACTTTGCCCAGTCTAAGAAGCTACCGTCCAGTCTAGCTGCTAAATAGTAAACAACCTGTTCACTCATCTGAGCATCGAGGCCACAGGCATTGAGTGTGGGGGACCCAGATCCTGTCCCACTCAGTCCTCCCCAGAGTAAGTGCTTTGTAACCCCTATAAGGCGGCGGTAATAATCCCGACCGTTACATATATATATATATATATATATATTTATATTTATATTTATATAATATATATATTTTTCTTCATCTCCTTCAGCTTCTCAAGGATGCCTGAAGTCGGTGAAGGCTGACTCGCCGCAGATCCTCTTTTTAGCTGCAGCCGGGATCTTAAGCATCTCCTCCTCTGCAGGTGGCCTCTTCTCCTCTTTCTTCTCTCTCCTGCTGCACAGAGAAAACTATTCTTCATGGTTCTTGCCAAACGTGTGTGTGCGTGTGTGCGCATCACATGTATGTATGTCAAACAACATTTCTGACAATATGTGCAGATGATCTGATATACAAGTGGAGAAAATTCCTCACAAGTTACGTAGAAAGATTAAAAATAGCTTTCCTTTTTGCTTACTGTAACTAAAACTGGCCTACTGTCATTACATGGTCCAGTCACTTTGAATCCCACTGTAGTACTCATGTGGTGCAGTGGGAGGCAGTGGCACGCTGGGAACACCCAGTAAACATTCAGCACCGCAATTTAACGTCCCTCAGCAGAGAAACAGATGGCATGGGGAGATGCATATGTCAGCACCCACAAGTTAATTGCTCTATAATAGCTATTTAAGCTTCACTTAAGCTCCCCCGGCTGGTACAGAGAAAGCGCTAAATCCACTGCAGAGTGGTTACAGATAAAAGGATCAGGGAGAGGTTTTTTCTTTCTACTTTTCTTACAGATGCATCGTGTTCAGTCTCGAGTTGACAGAACCAAGATGGCCGAGTCTCCCTGGCTGGTCACTTTCACACTCTTTTGCCGACATACTGTATCTTGGTAAATTGGCAGAGTAAAGGGTTGGCAGCACAAGCCCAAAATTAAAAAAAAAACCTCTGGCCAATTAAAATGGAACCGTAGCATCATATACATTGATCTTAATTATTGGCTGTTTTTTGATTTGGTGTGAGGTAATTAATGGTATTATATTAACTAAACAGTGGTAGAAAACATATGAGTCCAACATTTTTGACACGTCACAGAGAGTTAAAGAGACTCGATATAGATCTTACTCATTAAAAATCTCATGTGTATCGGGACTAATAATGTCATTAATTCTGTGTTGATGATATGCTGATTGTTTATATAGAACAATGTCGTGCCATCAACCAATGAATGCAAATATGGCAACTCTGCAGTATTCTGTGTATTGTGATCTATAATTCTTTGTTTGTTCGATCCCACAGACTCATAGTTGTGTATAACGCAACTTGAAGAGCAAAGGGCGTTTCTTGACATTTCAGGCCAGTGGGTTCACCCCACCCTCTTGGGTAGTGACGGGCAGCTGCTTCTCCTCAACATCTGGAACAGACTCTCTGGGAGGGTTTGTGGACCTGACTGAACGGCATCACCAGGGCGGAGTTGTTCCACTGGAGCCCAGAGTGCTCCACATCATCATCATCATCATCATCGTCGTGTACAAAGGGCCAAACTGTGCTCGAACTGCCTCCCGTGCAAATGACAGTGGAAATGATCATTATGACTTTAAAGGCTTTGCACTGCAGTGCAGTTGTTGTTGGTGTGCAATTGGCCAGCAGCTTTAAATGGCAGCCTGATATTCTTTGTTTTCCAATGTGCTTTGGGGGTTTTAGCAGGAAAAAAACAATGCAATTCTGCATGGTGGGACAGGTAAGAAATGTCAGCTTCCAATTCAACCATCTTTTGCTCATAATAACGACTCTAACAAGATGCTCCCCCCTGCCACATCTCATGCATAAAGAGGTTATATTAGAAAGCATGGCAGAGGCTTCCAAAGTCCTTGAGAAGGCCCGATGAAGCTGGTGGAGGAGGTGGATAAAGAGGACATCTGCATGTTTCATGCCTCACGTGACCGAGATGCTGTTTGCTCTGCTGCCACGCTGAAGATTGGTGGCGCTAAATTGTGTTTTGTTGTGACCACAATCAGAGATGTGACACGATATTTTTTTGGACATCCAGTTCCATTGGGTCTTGTTGTGTGTAATAGCTTCTTGTTTTGACTCAAAGTGCTTCACATCATAACATTTCATACAATAAAGTGAAATAAAATGCAGGAATTAAAAGACAATTAAAAACAGCAAATAAAATTATAAATTCAAATCTTATTTAAATTGTTTAATTAAAGGCACAGGTTAAAAGTGCAATGTAGGTAAAATTTAGCAGAAGGCGAAGCTGAACATAAAAGCTTTCAGTCTTGTTTTAAACGTGGTCAGAGTTGGGGCAAGTCTTAAATCTTCAGGAAGTTTATTCCAGCTGTTTGCTGCGTAGTAACTAAATGATGCTTTCCCATGATTTGTATTTACTCTGGGAATCACTAACAGATTGGTGTCAGAAGATCTTAGTGATCTTGAAGGCTTATGTAGTGGAAGCATATCAGTGATATACTTTGGCCCTAAACCATGTAGTGATTTATATGTGAGCAGTAGGATTTTGAAATTAATTCTCTGACATACTGGGAGCCAATGTAAGGATTTAAGAATTGGTGTAATGTGCTCACATTTTTTGGTCTTTGTTAGAACTCTAGCAGCAGCGTTCTGAACAAGCTGGAGCTGCCTGACAGTTTTTTTTGGGAGACCTGCAAGGAGACCATTACAATAGTCTAGACTACTAGTTATAAAGGCATGTACAAGTGTTTCTAAGTCTTGAGCTGACATGACCCCTCTAAGTCGTGCTACATTTTTGAGGTGGTAGCCGATTTTGTTACTGATTTGATGTGACTCTCCAAGTGTAAATCTGAATCCATAATAACCCCCAGATTTCTGGCTTTATTTGATGTTTTCAGGGACAGAGAGTGAAGGTGTTGGGTTACTTTAAACCTTTCTTTTTTAGCACCAAATACAATGATCTCAGTTTTGTCTTCATTTAGTTGTAGGAAATTTTGACACATCCAGTCTTTGATTTGCTCAATGCACTGGCACAGAAGATCTATGGGGCGATAGTCGTTTGGTGATAGCGCTACATAGATTTGGGTGTCATCAGCGTAGCAATGGTGGTCAATTTTATTTTTTTGCATGATTTGTCCTAGTGGGAGCATGTAGATGATGAATAAAGTCGGCCCTAAGATCGAACCTTGGGGGATTCCACACGTTACGTCGGTTGTTTCTGATACGAAGTCACCAATGGAAACAAAATAGTTCCTGTCTTGTAGATATGACCTGAACCAGCTTAAGACTGTGCCTGAGAGCCCCACCCAGTTTTCCAACCTGTCCAAAAGTATTGAGTGGTCGACAGTATCAAATGCAGCATTGAGGTCTAATATCATTAATATTGAAGTTTTGCCAGAGTCTGTGTTAAGACGGATGTCATTTACAACTTTAATAAGGGCCGTCTCTGTGCTATGAAGAGGTCAAAATCCTGACTGGTGTTATGGAATATTTCAATAAAAGCTCGGTAGAAGAGAATGATTTGTCTAATAAAACAGAGTCTTGATAAATGATCAAAGTTGCAAAAAGTCCATTTATTGCTTGCAAGCAGGAGGTCAAATACACAGGCACGTATCACGGTGCTCTGTGGAAATGACGTCTCTGGGCACTAAAAACGCTGAGTCTTTCTACACATGTGGAGGACATTCTCCGTGCCAGTTACGAGAAGCTGCAAAGCAGGTTGAGATAAGAGCCCAGGTGAAGCTGAGGGTAGCACACACACACACACAAGATCCTCCTCAGTGGCCGGTGAAAATCATAATTAATTGACATAAAGTAAAAACGTGGATCCGGAACTTTCGTACCGAATAAGATATGAACCAAGGCCATGAACAGAAGTCCTTTGTTTTGAAGCGTCTATGAGATCGAGTTGACCGTCCTCCCTTCTCAGGACACAGCTGCAAAGCAACATTTTGTATCATGCTGCTCTTTGCACATCGGGGTCAAATACAGGACACTTCAGATACGGCTTTAGCACAAAACAATGTTATAACATATTTTTACCATTACATTCCACTCTTTTGATTATTCTTTAATCACACATAATATTGCAAAAAAATATGTTTTTGTGAGACCATGTCTCGTGTTTAGCAAGCAAGTGTAAACCACTCTTTAGATGGCTGATTACAAAATCACAAAAAGATACTTAGATAATGAAACTGAAGCAAGCAATAATATGAATAAAACCGTAGTGACACAAACGACTACTGTGTCTACGTGGCCCTAGGGGTCCTGGCCGTGTTCTTCTTGTGTTGATCCGCAGGTACACGTTGGGATGTGGAGTCTGCCAACCTTCTTTCTTCTGAGGCATCCGCGTTGCAGACAGTCAACACAGATCACAATGCACTGTGTGTCTGTCGGTCAGCTGCCCGTTGTGAACCCGTCCGTGGTCACTGCAACGGTGGTGTCGGTTGATTGACACTTGTTGTGGGGGTAGGGTCGCCTGAGCCCACTGATGGTACTGGATCTGGAACCTTCTTGCAATGGGACGCGTGGACCCAAGTTGCCCTCTCAGCTTCTTTGACAGCTGTTTGGGTGACGAGGAGAATCTGGAATGGTCCCTGCCAGCGTCGTGCTTTCCAGTTTTTTCTCCTGAAGTCTTTCACCATCACAAAGTCACCAGGTTTCAGCTTGTGGAGTGGGCCTTCAGCTGGTTTTGGGAGGGCGGCTGCAACCTGTTGTCGTATGTCAGACAGAGCAGAAGAGAGTTGTGCACAATATGTTAACATTTCATGTTCGCATAATGCGGTTGAAGGGAGTGGTGCCGTCGGTGCCTCGGTTCCTACGTGAGGAGGAAAACCAAACAATATCTCGAAGGGACTCAGGTTGCTTCGTGTTCGTTTTCTCATGCACATCAACACTAGAGGCAGGGCTTTTGTCCAGGGCAGACCTGTGTCTGCACAGCATTTTGCCAATTTGGTTTTGAGTGTGCTATTTTCTCGTTCCACAGCCCCTCCACTGGCTGGATGGTATGCGCAGTGTGTTTTTAAATCAATACCCAGGTATGCGCTTAATTCTGTAATGGCCTGGTTGACAAAATGAGAACCATTGTCACTTGATATTTTAGAAGGAATGCCCCATCGAGGAATGATTTCAGAAATTAGGGCCTTGGCTACTGTTGCAGCGGTTTGTTTGCTTGATGGAAAAACCTCAACCCACTTGGAAAACATGTCCACCATCACTTGACAGTGTTTCTTACCTTGTGATGGAGACAACTCCACAAAATCCATCATAATGTGCTCAAACGGGCGGGTTGGTGGTGGGTGTGCAGCCTGGCTGGACACGCCCACGGGCCTGCCTACATTGTGAGTAGAACAGGTGACACATGCAGAACAAAATGTTTGTGCATATGCTGTGAACCCTTTTGTAAACCACGTCTCATTAAGTGCACGTAACATTCCCCCTTTTGACACATGGTCTAACCCATGAGTCAATTTAGCATAATGAGCAAAATAGTGTTTAGGTAAACACGGCTTGCCGTCGGGTCCAGTCCAGATACCGTTGGTTTAACCGATTTAAGGAAGTTCCTGTGTTTCCACAGCGCCCCAAAATCATGTACTACACCAAACGCATAGCGAGAGTCAGTGTGAACTGTGACTGTTTTACCCGTAGCCAGTTTACAGGCCTCGGTCAGAGCGATGAGCTCGGCTGCCTGGGCTGAGAGGTGACATGGCAGAGGACCTGAACACAGCACACCAGAGTCAGAAACAACAGCAAAACCAACACAATTTTCACCAGACTGAGGATCGCGGGAGGCGGATCCATCCACATACATTACCATGTCGCTGTTAGTTAGTGGAGTGTCCACTAGGTCAGGGCGAGGAGTGCACTGAGCTTGGAGCTCAGCCAAACAGTTGTGGTCCTCCCCATCCCCAGGAATAGGAAGTAATGATGCAGGGTTTAGGTTAGTACAACGTTTATAGTGACATTCGGCATGTCCAGGAGACACGTGTGGTAACGCAAATAGCAAGCCACAGAGAGGTGAGATGATTTCTGTTCGAGGAGAATCAAAGAAACCGCGTGCGGAACGAGCAGAGTGAGTGGTGCGTAACCCACTATGCCACGTGAGGCAGTGAGTGCCTTTTCAGCCACGGCCACAGCGCGCAAACATTGTGGCAGTCCTGCAGCGACAGGGTCGAGTTTTGCGGAGAAATACGCCACCGGGCGGAGTTTATCACCATGGGGTTGTAGCAGCACAGAAGTCATGCAGCCCTGTCTTTCATCTACTGTTTGAGTAAATAGCGTATTCGGATTCGGCAGTCCAAGAGTCAGAGGAGTTTACAAAGCACATTTCATTTGTGTGAAGGCCGCAAGACCCTCTTCAGTCCAGATTATTTTGTCGTGCGCTGTAAGATTTTTCCCATGGATTAAGTTTGATAACGGTTGTTCCATTTGTGAGTAGTTTGGAATAAATGATCGACAGTATGAGCACATGCCCAAAAAGGACAACATCTGTTTTTTGGTGTTGGGTTTCGGTATTGATACGATCGCGGCGATTCTTTTTGGGGAGAGGGTTTTTCCTTCTCCAGACATGTCATGACCTAGGAAACGTACATTTTGAGACACAACTTGTCATTTAGAAAGGCTGGCCTTGTGGCCTTCCTTCGCTAAATGTTTGAGTAGTTTAAGCGTGTCTGTCTGACACTGTGCCTGATTTGTAGCTGCAATCAAACAGTCGTCAACATACTGCAGAAATGCAGAGCAGGGAGAGAGCGTTAAGCTCTCCATGCTTTCTCTGAGCGCATCATTGTAGATTGTGGGTGATTCGGTATAGCCTTGACACAAACGAGTGAAAGTGTATGGCTTACCGTTGAAGTTGAATGCAAACCAAACTTGACTGTCTTTGTCGACTGGCACGCTGAAAAAAGCATTCAACAGGTCAACAACAGAAAACCATTTAGCTTCAGGAGGAATCTGAGCTAGGATTGTGTAAGGATTAGGAACATTTGGGGCCCGTGCATGAACGGCCGCATTTACTGGTTTTAGGTCCTGCACGAAACGCCATTCTGTAGGCTTGCCAGCATCTCTGATTTTTTTCACTGGAAATATTGGCGTCCTGACCGGTGAGTCTGGACATGGAACTATCACTCCTGCCTCCAGGAGCGAATTGGACACAGGTGTGATACCGTCAATGGCCTCTTGTCGCAGGGGGTACTGGTGTTTGTGGGGACGGAAGTCAGAATGTGGAGTGATGACGACCGGTTGGCAGTTGTTGATCAAGCCGACGTCATATTTGTGCGCTGCCCAGAGTGTCTGTGGAACAGAACCAAGAGCGGGAGAAATTGACGTGGGAGTTGTTAAAAATGTTTCAACTTTGTCGTTGTGCTCATAAAACACATAGACAGATCGACAAGCTGGTGTGAGGAGTACACAGTGAGTTCTGTGAAACCCTGTAGAGGCGGAGCGCAGAACGAGCGGATCGATTGTCTCCTCCCAGACAATGAGAGAGATTCACACTGAGCCACAAATGGTCCCAAATCCCTGCATTGGTCAAGGCGTCCTTTAGACAGTGAGACATGGGGATAGGAGCCGGGAACTTGAAACAGTTCTTTCTGTGTGGGAGACAGAGAAACAGAGACAGCAGATTTACAAGTTGACCAGTACAAAGTAGAACAGGCAATTGCATCATTGAGGGCCTCAAAAAATGTCTCTTCAAAAGAGCCGTCTGGGCCCTCTGAGACACATGTTGTGCAATGCAGGTGTTCAGGGTTCATACGTCTGCATGAGGAGAAACCCGTGCTTCACCAGCCTGGCTCAGCCTCCGAGCATCATCGATCGGGATCCACCACTGATACACAAAAAGAGGATTAGAGGGAGCCTTTTGCACCATTTGGAGTGCGGCTCTACGCCGAACCACTTTAAGGCCGTCTGGAGATGACGTCAAACAAATACCACATGTACACATCAAGTCTCTGCCCATCAGATTTATGGGACAGAGTGAAGAGAGTAAAAAAGAAATTTTTACTTTTATGTCAGGGTTTAGGTCAGTCTCGTCAGAGTGTACACTCGTCATAGGTGCAGTACATTTTTCTGTCGCAGTCAAACCTGAAGCCCCTTGAGAATATACATACCGCCCACTCATTTTTTGATTTGGAAAATGTTTTTCTTGAATTACTGAATGAGCAGCTCCGAAGTCTACTAAAAACGTCAATTCTTTCCCTTCCACAATTACTCTTGTAGTTGGCATATCCTTGTATGCATCTGATGAAAACATAGCATACATGAGTGGTGGTGGTGTGGATGTATCCTGTTGCTGTTGTGAGAAATGATGCTGAGCAAAACAGCATGTTGTTCTGCAGTGTGCGTGCGAGGAAGCAGGTATCATTGCAGTATTGTGTGTGCATGTGTATGTGGGTGTGCGTGCGAGGAAGCAGGTCTTCGTTGCAGCATTGTGTGTGTGTGTGTGTGGTGTGTTTCACTTCCCTGTTTTGGAGAGGCAGCAGTCGGTCCTCCGTCACACATGCGCTCTCCCTCCCCATCACACCGTCAGTCTGAAGTGCCAAGTGCCCTCTGTCAGTCCCGGAGTGGTGCTGTCGTCCATGTGGCTGAAGTACCTGGTTTGAACGGTAGGGGCAGTCTTTGTACCAATGTCCTGTTTTGCCACAGAGGAAGAATTCATCGGGTTGCCCTTCTCGTGGGGCCCCTCCTTGAAAACGCCCTCTTCTCCCATGATTTATTCCATACGCTCGTCCTCTCTGTTGGTCCCTCCCATAAGATTTTCCGGATGGGTGGGGGTCTCGTCCTCCTTCTGCACCCAGTGTCAACTGTTTTACAGCTTGGAGCATCGCAAGCTGGGCTTTCTCCCCAGTCTGCTTGCTGCGTTTGTCTTGACACATTTGATTTTCCACATGCATTTTATAATTGTGTCGTGCATGTTTTACCACTTCTGTGAGCCTGGCATCTTCCAGACCCACGACAGAGTGTTCAGTGGCAGTTTTGACGTCTGGCAGAAGCCCGTTCATGAAGGCGTTCTTGAGATGAGTTTCTCACACAGTCATGTTGGTTATGTCTGTGGGCTCCTCGAGGCCGCTGTGAATCTGAAAAGCAGCCACAAGACGCTGATAGTAAGACGTTACATCTTCGGTCCTACCTTGTTTTGTGCTGTTGATGAGTGCCATGTTTACTGTTGCCGGAAAAGCTGTAACAACAGCTGCACATACTGCGGTGACAAATGCTCTGTAGGCAACGTTATCTGCCTGATCCCAGTCAGGTGCCTCGTGGCGGGAGTCAGAGCCCTGACCAGTGACCACCGCTCTGATTTTACTGAAAGCACTCGGGCCCACATGTTTGACCAGAAGACGATGGATCTCGGGTCCGGTGGGCATGAATTCTTTACAGAAGGCCAGGAACTCTTTTCCAAAGGCTGCACCGTTTTTGATGTCGGGCAGGTGAGAGGCTGCCTGTTGAATATCAGTCGCTGTCCAGGGTCGGAACACGACACCACGATGCCCATCCGGTCCCGGAACCTGAATCATGGGGGCCTGGATGAGGGAGCCGTCCATACTGTCCATATCAGGGTTTGACCATTGGCAGGCCAGGGGCTTTGGAGTGGATTGGGCTATGGGGTAATGCGAGAAGGGGTTGGTCGGGGACATTGGCGTTGCTGGACCGCCCTGGTTCTGGAGTCTGGTGACGCTGCGGGTCTGGTATGGAGGGGGCGGTGGTCCCGCTTGTTGAGCTGGCTGAGGTGGGGGAGTTTGGTAGCATGTGTTCAGGAGAGGACCGCTTGCCCCTGTCAGGGATGGATACAGTGGAGAAGACACAAGTGGATTATTCTGTGTTACTATGTCAGGCTTTTCAGGTTTTAGACACGCCATTTGCTTCATTGTTTGTTTTCTCTCCCTGCATTCACATTCCATTTCCCATTGTGCCAGACATGTCTGGTTTTTCTCTATTATTTCCAAGTCTTTAACTTTGATCTTTTTACCACTTTTCAAATTGTTTAACCTTGCTTCCAAATCCCCTCTTAACATTTTAAGTTTAGCGGCACCCAACGAGCCGTTTTCTGGAAACCCAAACTCTTTTGTCCAGTATGGGAGACACTCTGTACATGTTTTCCCGTATTTCTGCTGCATCATTGCCACAATCGGACCCGACGTTCCGTGTGTTTTGCGGACTGGCCACCCATCTTTTACTGGTGGACTCTACCGGTTTACTTATTACAATACAGTCGTCACCGTAACGCTTAGTTTCTTTACTCAAGGAAAAACCCACTCAAAACTCACGCTTCGATTTTGCCACGATCTTGTTCTAAAGGTAATTCAGTAGAACTCACGTTTGGTTAACAAGAACAGTGATATCGTTTTACCTGCTTCAGCATAAAATTCACGTAGGCCATTTCCACGCTCTTATTCCACAGGTGGAATTCACGTTTGGTCAATAGCAACGGTCTTATTTTACCCGGGTAGTCAAGTGATCTGCGTTACGATCTCGGAGAATTTGTTCCGAGTGAAATCTCTATCGTACACGATCCAATCTACCTTCGCATAAAATGATGCATTAGAAATATCCAGGAATCATGTACTCAAAAATATATAAAAAAATTATTATAAGAAAAAAACACCCAAAATGTTAAAAAATAATTGTATTCCCCAGACTATAACAACCACTTGATCAGTCATCCGTTTCCGTTATGTTCAACTCTTACTGTTACTTTATAATTGGAATTTCAACTTCTTCTTAGAGTTTGTAGAAATTAATTATTTTTCGCCGGATACACGTGACGTCAATCAGAACTCCTCTGGTTTCCGCCCGTCCTTTCTCTCTTGTCTAAGGAGGTATGAGGCAGGATCATCAGTTTGTGATCCTGGAAAAGGCCTTTTCCCCGGACGGTCCCCTGAAGCCTGACGGACGGTCAGTGAATCCTGTTCGTGACGCCAAATTGTTATGGAATATTTCAATAAAAGCTCGGTAGAAGAGAATGATTTGTCTGATAAAACAGAGTCTTGATAAATGACCAAAGTTGCAAAAAGTCCATCTCCTTTATTAAATACATTTGATTTTAACCTTTTGATCAGCGATGACCTCTGTCCGTCCGGCGTTTCTTCATTTTTGAACACAACAATTTGGTGACTCCGTCGTGATGGAGATCAATGGACGGACGGAGGAACAGCTGATCTGAACAAAGCCCAGCGATCGATTTTCTTCACTCACACGGCGCCATCGAAAAGGTAACCGGCAACCAGTTGTTTTAAAACCGAAATGCTGTATAGTTTATCATAGAACATTTAGGTGTGAGAGGACAAGATACGATGTTTTGAGGTAAACTACATTTTAGAGAAAAAAAATGTTTTCTCTTAGCTTGAATGGCTGTTGTGATAAAAAGCACATTGTATATAGTGTTTGTTTGGACGTCTCTGTGTGTGTTGCCGACAAAGCTCGGTTGTGTAGCGTTAACGTTAAGTTAATGGGCGACGTTATTTAACTGATCAGTCATAGAAGGAATGAATGGAAACCTAGTATAGGCCTCTAACCGGTTGGGGATAAACGTATAGCAATTTATAGACTGTATACGTAATGCACTGTGTAGAACGCGCTAGCAGAGTTAAGTCCACAAGGCCTGATGGAACCAGAGGAGTGTTAACAGCAGTAATTGAGTGGAAGAGGTTCGCGTTGTAATGGCGGTTCTTCGTTGTCTCCGTAAGCTCTCTTAGACTCTGTTAGGCGGCACAATAAATTAAAATATGAACTAGACGACGCCAATGAGGCTAGATAACTAAAAAATAAATAAATAAATTTGAAACTTGTGAGGACAGAGCCACGCGCCGTAGTGCCAAGAACTGACTAAAACTTTGCGGATAATTAAGTGCAGGGATAAATAGACCTAAAATAAGAAGAGATAAGATAAGAAATAGGTCATCATATAACTCGCCTTGCAGGTGAGGACAGAGTCACGGCCGTCTGCCAAGACCCGAAAATAATAAATTACTGGATACATTTTTACAATAAATATAGATCAGTTGAAAACGTTGCAAATTTGTATATAATTGTATATTGTATGGTTTTGTTTGGAAAAGACCACAACCGGTTAAGTTTTTGTTTTGTAGCCTAACAGGGCCCACAAGGCTTTGTTCTTTGAAACAAAGGGCTGTGATCGGAACCACCATTGGTTGCGGTTGGGGAACGTGGAGCACATGTTTTTGGAACATTACAAGATGGCGGGCGGAGATAAATAGAGAAAACAGTTAAAAGATGGCTGAGAAAGAAATTCTCAGCACGGTCTATAGAGGGGATAACAATGACTTGTTATCCACCACTACTGGGGGTGGAGAACATGTGCTTTGGAGATTTCCAAAATGGCAGCCAGCGACAGTTAAAAGAAGAAAGTTAAAACAGATGTAACACAGTTTTTGTATTTCCCACCTACACTCTGTATTTCCATTGAACAGTGTCTCCCCTTGTCTCCATTTCCAAATGATCCTAACATTTTTTCTTCCTCCATTCTTAGGACCATGTGATTTTTGTTTGCATTACAAACGGTCTATGGAATTTTTCTAGGCTCTATATGATTCTTTATGTTTTAACGTTTATATAATTGTTCTTACATTAACACAATTTTCCCATTTATTGTTTAAACATTTTTACAATTACTGAGTTTGAGAGAGACTCTGATCAGAGTCTGCAACACATCACACACAGACACACACAGCAGCAGCACACCTGAAGATGCACATTAGCATGCAGTTGAAGTTGAAAACTGATGAAGGACACACATAAGGTGTTTGACGGTACGGTAAATGGTGAACGTAAGTGTAAAGATGAGAAAGAAGGTTAGAAGGTTAAACAGTTGTTCAAGGTTTTTGTGACAGATCATCACACACATCCTGGAGCCCAGAGAGGCTGCAAGGAGAAAAGGAGGGAGCAGCGAACGGATTGGTAAGATGCAGAGGTCAAAGGGTGCAGACAGCTGACCAACAGTGTTAAAATAACACATGCCTCAACAGGAGGGATGTAGATATAGAAATATTTTTCCAAATTGAACGATGGGAAAACTTAACAAAATAAATTACTAAAAGAAAGATTTAGATACCAGAGGTATGTATTGTCAACACCTCACAAGAGTTGAATCTCACAATTTGACTTCTATTTCTGGAATGAATTTGAAATGTTGTTCTTCTCATTCAGTCAGCAGGACTGATAGTAAAGTAAATGGTACAGTTAAAGCTACAATTAAGAAAATAATGACTAGAACGGAAAGAATTAAGGACTAGATAAGTAATGTTTAAATTTGCACAAAGACCAGGAGGAACACCTGGGAAGAGCACACCCACACACACACACACACACACACACACACACACACCCACACACACACACACACACACACACACACACACACACACACACACACACACACACGCACACACACACACGCACACACACACGTAGGCACCCCATTGTGCTTCTCTATTCAACGGCTGACCAGGGAATCCTGATCTTCCAGCACCTCGGATCCCCCGATCGGTCTGGTCACAGGACCTGCGAGATTCTCAGGATCAAGAAGAGAGTGGATCTCAATCACACGTCAATGACGACCACTACGCGTCGCCTGACCAAGCCTTTGATAACAAGAGGAAGTATACACTCAACCATAATCCCACAAACACTCTAGTTTTTGTACAAGTTATTACCACACAACTTCAAGTAATTAATTAAGAAAAGGGACAGAAACCCCTCATTTAAATCCAAGCTAAAATGATTGAGATATACAAGCAAATACACACGGTTGATATTATTGTGAGAACAAGAGATCAAGGTTCTTGATTCATAATGTCCAAACATTTCCCTGATATAGAACTATACAGTAAATAGACATATTCACATTGAACATCTGGTCGGACGGTGAAAGAGATTCACCTTTCCGTTGAGTTGTACTTAGTAAGGTAACAGTATTGTCCCGTAGTTTTACACCTGTTTGCTAGGGAGGTTTCTTGGTAGTTCCCCTCTTCTCAGTTGTCCGTGCTTTGTTCTACAAAGCACGGGGGTTGAGGAGGCGTCATTGCTAGAGTGGTGTTGTTCCCACATGGTCCATTTACTTCTACATTTACTTCTAATCGATTAACTTTTGTTTCCAGCAGTAAAATCTTCTGTACGAGTTTGTGGTAATCTTCCGTAGAGAAGGGAGGCATCTTCTGCTAATTACCTTTAGCACTGTAGCACAGGCTCAGGCTTATCTTGTTTGGTAGGCCTCCTCGCGTAGCGTTGAGGAAGTCGTAAAAATATTGAAAAATGCCTGTTTTATCTAAAAGAAAATATAATCCCACTGGTTTTGTAAGTATCCAGGAGCTCCTGCTCTTTGTTTCATTAAGCGATTGCCGTTGCCAGAGGTGAAAGTGGACAAAATGAGCGGAGCTGCTCCTCGGTGCGACTGGTAGGTTTGAGGCTCTTAGAGGGTTTTTTATCTTCTGACAGCAGTCGTACTGAGATGGAGGACCAGCACGGATATTTTAAAAACATGATTGAGAAAAAAGTGTGATTTCTTTCTATTTTAAACTCTTCCTTTTGAGGATATCAGAACAAACCCGTCACAAGCCACATTGTAACATGGTTACAGCCAACACGACGCCGGCAGCCGAGCTATTTATACTTTTGCTGTGTTGTTTTATGTTCACCTATTCAGATGGGAGTGCAGCCCACTGAGTAACTTCCTAAACGTTCCGTCACAACTACACATCTCTGCAGGGATCACATTTTCAGATCCGTCTCACCGCGTTTGGAGGAAACCACTGCAGAGGAGTGCATGTGTGTCTGTCATTGGCATGTGCGTGTGCATGTGCATGTGTGTGTGTGTGTGTGTGTGCTGCTGGGCCAAAGGCAAAATGTAGAAATCTGTCAACTACTCAGACTTATGAATCCATTACTTATGAAACTGTTACTTTGTACTTGCATTCATTTGTTGGGCAGGAAATCTAAATATGGACAACCGTACCAGGAATATTCTCATTAAGCCAAAATTAGAAGACACATGCCCCCCCCGCCCCCGCCCGCCCCCCTCTCAAGTATAATCCCAAATCCCCTGATTCCCCC